TGGTGTCATTTCGGCTCACGCGCAGTGGCATGCGTACGTCACTGTAACCCCCATCCACGCGCATGCGCAGTCATGCGATTGCCATGCTAGCCTAGCCCGAATCGGAACACTGCCTGTGGCTGCCGTAGGCCGCCACATTTACTTTAAAACGTTTTTGCATATATGCATTCGTAACACGTTTTAAAGTTAAATAAATAACAATGTTAAGAATGCTGTTTATTTTTCAGTTGCAGTACAGTTAAATAATAAGCAAGTGAAAAGAAAACGGTTAAAGGATGTGTTAGGTTTCCAGCACTAGGTGTTTTCCCCTATTTTCGATTATGGCGTTTTTTGAGTTACGCTCTTACTAGATTTAAGTTGGTAGGAGTGTGTGGAGGAGTTGAGAAAAAGATGGCGGAAGTTAAGTGCCGATGGTGAACGTCGTGACAAATAAATCGACCGATTTTTCTATGAAACAAGAGTGTGCAAAATCATTACATCACCAACACAACACTGTAAATTTACAAATAGATGGTCCAGACGTAAAAATTTGGCCATCACAACGGTCACGTGCATCAAATACGAGCATTGCACGGCAGCGCCGTCCATTTGGTCCTTCGAGCCGGATTAGTGAGCCATCGCACATACACTCGGATATACACAGCTACCGAGCCATCGGACACACAGCTACCGAACCATCGGACACGCAGCTACCGAGCCATCGGACACGCAGCTACCGAACCATCGGACACGCAGATACCGAGCCATCGGACACATCGGATACACACGATTCCGAGCCACACGGTTATACACGGATAACCGAGCCACACGGTTATACACGGATTCCGAACCATCGGATACTCACGCATATACACGGATTCCGAGCCACACGGATTCCGAGCCTACGGATACTCACGCATATACACGGATTCCGAGCCACACGGATACACTCGGACACACGGATCGGCGAGCCACGGATATACACGGATCGGCGAGCCACGGAATACACACGGATCGGCGAGCCACGGATACATACGGAACGAGCTTGACCGCTATCGGCAGAGCAACGGCAACGACAGCGCATCGAACAAAGGAGACTATCGTAATACTAGATCGGCTAATTTTCACATAACCAACTTGCAAAAATTGTCGATTACATTATCTTTAGGTTTAAGCATTTGTTTGTAAGTTTATTATTTTTAAGGTTATTATTGCAATTGTTCCCTTCTTATTGGCACACGATGTCGGAAGAAGTGAAGGCGTTGATTCAGGGGCGTGCCACGATCAAGGCGCAACTGACTAGATTTAGAACCTACCTAGAAAAATGGTCCGAACGCCCTGATGAGCAGCAGCTTATCGAGCGGCTTGAAAAGGTTAAGGCGACTTGGGACAGCTTCGAATTGATTCAAGGTAAACTCGAAGTTTTAAACGCGGAAGCTAGTGGTGATGCATCAAGTGACGTTGAGCGAAACCACTTTGAGGATTCGTATTTTGAATTGATAGCGCGTGCTCAGCGTCGTATTGCGGCGTTGAGACCTAACACTGTCGTAGATGGTACAGCGACTATTCAAAACCAGCCTGCTTTACAAAACTCAGTAAACAAAATAAAGCTCCCTACGATTAAATTACCTACCTTTAATGGAAGGTACGATGAATGGTTAGGTTTTTATGATAATTTTAAATCCATAGTACATGATAATTGTGATTTAACGCCTGTTCAAAAATTACAATACTTAAGATCATCTCTGAAGGAGGAAGCGGCTCAGGTCATACAAGCACTTGAAACATCATCTCAGAATTACAGCATAGCTTGGGGGTTATTAACAGAGAGATACGACAATAGACGCATAATCATACAAAGCCATGTTCGCGCACTTTTCGATTTACCGGCAATAGCTAAGGAATCACCAATCCAATTAAGAACGTTGGTCGATTCCGCATTAAAGCATACAAGAGCGCTTAACGCTTTAGGTCAGCCTACTGATTCATGGGACTCCTTGCTCTTGCATCTGATAACAGCTAAACTCGATCGAAACACTCACAAGGAATGGGAACGCACTCTCGATGGTACCGGTATGCCATCCATGAAAGAATTTTGGAAATTCTTAAAAAATCGCTGTCAGGTTTTAGAAAGCATAAATCAGGAGAATTCAACGCAGGCAAATTCGTCGACGAAAAATCAACCGCGGCTAAACAATAATTTAAGCAATGCAAATCAAAGAGGGCGACAGGCTCTGGTAGCTTCACATGTGCCGCTTGAGTGTGCAATCTGTAAGCAAAATCACAACACGTACCAATGCGAGCAATTTCTTAAAATGGATCGTAACGCTAGATGCGCTAAAGTGAAGTCACTGAGACTTTGTTACAATTGCTTGAGATCAAATCACTTAGCAAACGAATGCAGATCGGGATCATGTAAAAAATGTAAACGGAAACACAATACTCTTCTTCATGGTGAAACCGACCTACCTGTTCAGGAAACGGTTAACCTTAAGTCTGTGGAATCTAATTCAAGTACGAGTTTGCAGGCTATTGTTACATCACAGGTCCTTTTATCTACCGCGGTAGTCCCGCTACTAAATAAACAAGGAGAGCTTGTCAGATGCAAGGTTTTGCTGGATAACGGATCCCAGTCTAACTTCATTACCGAAAGGTTGTGCAATATTTTAAATCTCGTCAAAACTGAAATTAACATTCCGGTTTCGGGCTTCAATCAGAACTTGACTCATATCAAGCATTCGGTCAGAACTACACTTCATTCCAGGGACGGACGTTTCCAAGCTAATTTAGCATTCTTGGTTGTTTCTCGGATTACAGAAAGGCTTCCATCACAAGCAATTAACACACGTGAGCTTAATATTCCCCAGAACATTGCACTGGCGGATCCTGGGTTTGCTAATCCTTCAGAAATTGATGCCCTAATCGGAGCAGAGTTGTTCTATCAATTGTTATGTGTAGGCCAAGTAAAACTCAACAATTCTGCATTAATTTTACAGAAAACAAGGCTTGGTTGGGTAGTCTCTGGGCCCTTGCACAGTCAGGGTTCCATGTCAAACAAAATCATGTGTAACTTAACTGTAGACTCTTTAAATGCCCAAGTTGCTAAATTTTGGGAGATAGAAGAAATCCCAGCTATCAAACATTTATCTGATGTAGAGCACGCATGTGAGCAACATTTTTCTAAAACGCACTTTAGGAAACGAAGTGGAAGATATGTTGTAAGGCTTCCTTTTAATGACAAAAAGCGAGATATCGGAGCGTCCTTTGAATTAGCAAAAAAAAGGTTGTATTCATTGGAAAGGCGGTTAATGCGTAATCCACAAATGGGTGAGGAATACTCAAATTTCTTGAGCGATTACGAGAATCTGGGGCATATGACGGAAATGGCTGAAGCGGATATAACAGAAGATGGATATTTCATCCCACATCATCCAGTACTCAAACAGGATAGCCAAACTACAAAATTACGAGTGGTTTTTGATGCCTCTTCGAACACTACCAGTGGAATTTCTCTGAATGACACACTTCTTACTGGTCCAATCATTCAAAAGGATTTGTTCACCATCATCACGAAGTTCAGAATGCACAGATGGGTGCTGACTGCTGACATAGAAAAAATGTTCAGGCAGATTAGCATGCATCGTGAAGATATCAAATATCAAAGGATCTTGTGGCGCAGAAATCAAGACGAAGCAGTTAAGGTATTTCAGTTAAATACATTAACCTATGGCACTGGCCCTGCATCATTTCTGGCAGTACGAGTTCTGAAGCAATTGGCTCACGACGAGCAGGAGCGGTTTCCACTAGCAAGTAAGGTCCTTCAAAACGACTTCTACGTAGATGATCTTCTAACTGGTTCATCTAGTTTAGAGGAAGCACAAACGCTGCGAGATCAACTCATTGAATTGTTAGCCGCCGGTGGCTTCAATTTAAGAAAATGGTGTTCCAATGAGCCATCTCTTCTGGAGCCATTATTACAGAAATCCGCTGACCCTCACGCTTGTCTGAGTGAAATTGAAAAACACAAGGCACTCGGCGTTCATTGGAATCCACTTGACGACAGTTTATTTCATACCGTGAAGCCTTTTACACAACATCAACGAATCACCAAGAGGAGCATGCTTTCACAAATTGCTTCACTTTTCGATCCTCTTGGACTTCTGGGCCCAATCATCGTGAAGGCAAAAATCATGCTCCAACAACTGTGGAAGATCCATCTTGATTGGGATGAGTCAGTTCCTTTGGATATTGCTACTACATGGAACAAGTATACGCAACAATTTGATATCCTGGACCACTATGCAGTTCCTCGTCACATTAAGGGGGATGATACGGTTCAAACGCAATTGCATGGCTTCTGCGATGCCAGCGAGAATGCTTATGGAGCCGTTCTGTATTTAAGATGCACAACTTCATCGAGAGTTAAAACGGTTCGACTCATATGTTCCAAAACTCGCGTGGCTCCAATTAAAAGGCTATCATTACCCAGACTTGAGCTGTGTGCAGCAGTTCTTCTTAGCAAACTATATGAAGCTGTTGTAAGGGCCTTTACGCTCAGCTTGGACGAAGTGTATTTTTGGTCGGACTCTATGATCGCATTGCACTGGATTAGAACTTCGCCGCATAAGTTGAAGACCTTTGTTGCAAACAGGGTTTCGCTAATTCAAGAGGGTACCAAACATGGAAATTGGAGGCACGTGCCGTCCCAAGACAACCCGGCTGACGCTCTATCAAGAGGACAGTTTCCTAGGGAGTTTATTCACAGCCATATTTGGCTGAATGGACCTGACTGGCTGACAAGAGAAGAGGAGCTTTGGCCGCCGAATGCACTACCCGCATTGGAAATTCCTGAACAACGTTCGACAATAGTACTGTCAAACGTAGGTCCCACTGAGAACGAAGTCTTGCAAAGATTCTCGTCATTTATCAAGATGATAAGAGTGATTGCTTATTGTCTGCGTTTTTACAATCATTGCCGTTCTCACAAATCAAACTCGGAAGATCTTAACAATGAAGAGCTAAAACAAGCTGAGGCGTGTATCTTAAAACTAGTTCAAGGCGTCGCCTTCAAAAATGAGTTGTACAGTTTACGCGAAAGACATTCATTGGATAAGAGGAGTAACATATTGTCGCTTAACCCATTTTTGGATTCGGATGGTATAATTAGAGTTGGAGGTCGACTAAGACACTCGGAGTTAGAATTTGCTCAAAAGCATCCTATTTTATTACCAACCAATAATCACGTCACTGAAAATATAATTCGCGAAGCCCATATCAAGCTTGGTCATGCTGGAAGCCAGGCAACATTGTATACAATAAGGCAAAGGTTTTGGTTACTAAATGGCAAAAATCGCGTCAAGGGAGTAATCAGAAAATGCATAACATGCGCGCGCTGGAAACCCTCCACACCGGAATATCAAATGGGTGATTTGCCCAAGGCTAGAATTGTAAGCACAAGACCATTTGGAAATAGCGGAGTTGATTTTTGTGGCCCGTTTTTTATTAAGGAAAAGAAGCATCGTAACCGCAATAAAATTAAAATTTACGTAGCCATATTTATATGTTTAGTAAGCAAAGCCGTGCATTTAGAATTAGTAAGCGAGTTAACGACTGAAGCGTTCATAGCTACTCTGAAGCGATTTTTTGCTCGTCGTGGTAAGGCGCGAGTGATCTATTCGGACAATGCTACAAATTTTGTAGGTGCGAAAAACCACCTAGATGAAGTTTTTGAATTTCTACGACAAAACACGAATAAGCAAATCATTGATCGGTATTTAGTCAATGAAGGAATGCAGTGGTCATTTATACCTCCCCGGTCACCGCATTTTGGTGGGATTTGGGAGGCCGCCGTCAAGAGTTTCAAGCATCATTTGCGTCGAATAATTGGAGAGACTCTTTTTACATTTGAGCAATTTAATACATTGGTTATAGAGATAGAGGCTATATTGAACTCTAGGCCTCTCACGCCCTTGTCGGCTGATCCGAATGATCCACTCGCTCTCACACCAGCGCATTTTTTGATTAACATCGTTACAATCAGTTCCCGATTATGACTTCACGAATACAAGTGCAAATCGTTTATCTAATTGGCAACATATTCAAAGAGTAAAACAGCATTTCTGGGAACGCTGGCATAAGGAATATTTGAATGAGTTACAGCAGCGTGTTAAGTGGAATTGCAAGGAGTCTTCCAACATAAGTGTAGGCGATCTTGTAGTTGTCAAGGAGGATAATACACCACCGTTATATTGGTTGACCGGCAGAGTGATAGAAACTCACCCTGGTAGTGACGGTATAGTTAGGGTAATAACAGTAAAGACTGCGAACGGGGCGTATAAGCGGTGCGTTAAGAAGGTATCCCTGTTACCATAGTATAAGATTATTTTCGGTTTATTCTTAAGTTTTGAGTTAAGCTCTGTTTTTATACAATACTATACGTAACACTGTGATATATCTGTTACTAATTTTCTTTGTTTGAACATGTCGTTCAAAGGGGGGGTGATATGTTAAGTTTCCAGCACTAGGTGTTTTCCCCTATTTTCGATTATGGCGTTTTTTGAGTTACGCTCTTACTAGATTTAAGTTGGTAGGAGTGTGTGGAGGAGTTGAGAAAAAGATGGCGGAAGTTAAGTGCCGATGGTGAACGTCGTGACAAATAAATCGACTGATTTTTCTATGAAACAAGAGTGTGCAAAATCATTACATCACCAACACAACACTGTGAATTTATAAATAGATGGTCCAGACGTAAAAATTTGGCCATCACAACGGTCACGTGCATCAAATACGAGCATTGCACGGCACCACCGTACAGGATGCTTTGAACTTTGAAGATTCTTATGATATTCATAAGCGTTATGATAAAATATCAAATACAAGAGTAAGACATTTGTTTATTTATTTTCCTTATATGTAAAACTATTACATTGGCCTTCTCTACTGTGTGTACTACTTTTATTAATTATAGTAGCCTTGTTATTTTCAAAATATATATTTTTAACAGATATACTTAGGAGAAAACATATCGGTTGGTCAACTGTCTTGGGAAATGACAAAACTGCGTGAAAAGCCTTCTTTGTTTTTGCATGATGTATTGCTTTACATTTGGCCATACAATATTCTTAAAAATAGATGCTTTGACGAAAACAGAACGTATTATAAGCCATCTAGTGGCACAGTTAAAGAACTTAGTCCGCGGAAACTATCTTTAGCATTAAGTATATAAACATTTTTCTTTATACCATCCCATTATCTATTTATTATGTTTTAATACTTTCATTGATTGTTTTGTAGGTTTGTATAATGACTACCTGATTGAGTTGAATATGAATGATACAATAAGATTTAAACATTTGAATGATTCGTTCAAAATTATTACAATAAAAATAAGAGACGTCAGAAAGAAATATGCATACGAATCAGAGGGAGAACAATATGAAAGAAAAGTTGAAACGGACAATTAAAATAGATGTAAGTATTATATGTTATTGGTAATGTGCTTTTCAACATAATGTTGAAAAAGACAGTAACATAACAAAACTGTACTG